CTATTCGTTGAGCACTCAACAGAATAGTTCCAGCGAACGAGAATAAAGCAAGAACACTTGGGAAGTTTTTTAGAGGTAGATGCAGGTGTTTTTAGCAATGAAATACGTGAAGGAAGTGTTGTGTCACTTGTGCGTATGTGAGTTGTGTATCGTTGTAAATCACGTGCCAGCTACTTATAGGAAGGATTAGGAGCTGTGTTAATGAAGGTTTAATGGAAATGAACGTTGGCAATCAATGTCCAGCACGTTGGCATTGATTCTCGCCCATAAAACCGTCCGTTTAATTGCAATAAGTCACAAGAACGTTGGGCATTTAATAGTTGTAACTATTACCACCACCAGCCTGTTGCGGACATTCAACATTCATGGAGCAGCAGCCTGCCGCGTCTTTCGAAGATAGAATTTTTAGACGACATTCGTGTCTGCAGGTCGCTTGCGCACGCAAGTCGCGCTTTTTGTTCTCCGATTTCGGGATTTGATTCGCACCCCCCTGCGCGCGTGGAGAGAGCCTTTACCCTAAGGAATCTTAACTCCTTAAGGGGGGTTTCCCTTTATAAAAGGTTCAAATTCCCTTGGGTTTTCTGGTGTGGGAAAAAAATCACACTAGAAACCCACATTTTCCTAATTTTCTCCATTCCAACGAGTGAACTTCGAGAATCAATTTCTCATTCACCCGTTATCCGTTTTGAGTGTACCAGTACCATATATCGAATTGTAGCCCTAAGCAAGGACAATCCGAAACTACTTTGACCCGACCCGAATCGAAAGTGGACCCCACTCAAAAAATTGCCCCAAAATGACCATTTAATGCAATTTACTAACACATTTTCCAATAGTTTTTGTGTTCTCACTCAGCTTGAGCAGATTTAACATCTCATTTTTAATTTTATCAGAAATGGCCAGACAAGGTCTAACGTTTCTCCTTGTGCCAGCAAGGTGATTTTTTAATCTACTAACTCCTCCAGTAGTTTTTTGGCCACGTACTTGTACGTTTTTCCCTCTAACCCCGGTTTCTCCATGTTCCCATGCTGGGTCTCTTCCCGTAGACATGATAATAACAATGTGTATACCGGTGGGCGTAGCTCAACCGGTAGCGAGGGAGTGCCACAAGGGTTAGGTCCCGGGTTTGAATATCCCGTCAACTGCGATGAGAGGTTACTACTAACTTACTATGCTAAAAATGCTTAGGGCCTCTGCAAGTACCGGAGATGGAGCCTCATTCTCTATCTGTCAGATTGTGATTATAGTCTAATTTACATCCTCCCATCGTGCCGTCCGGTCGGTGTTGGGGGGCCCTCAAGGATGGGGTGTCGTCCTTTTTTTATAATAACAATGTGTATAACTAACAAACAATATAATAAAATAATATATTAATACTATTTTGCATCCATTCATCCGCTATGTATTATACATTCCAAAAAATCCACCAAGGTGTCAAAAAATTTCACTACGTATTATATGTTCCACTTATGTATTAAAATAACAAAGAAGAATCAATAATGTTACTCCTAATAAAAATTCCACTATGTGTTAAAATAACAATGATGAATCAATAATATTCCTCCTAATTAAAATAACAAAGAAGAATCAATATTAATACTCCTAATAAAAATTCCACTACGTAGTATATGGTCCACCTTGTATATAAATACGGAGTAACAATTCCCGCGAAAAAAAATACGGAGTAACAAAGAAGAATCAATATTACTCCTAATTAAAATAACAAAGTAGAATCAATAATAATACTCCACTACATAATAGATGTTCCACTTATGTATTAAAATAACAAAGAAGCAATAATATTACTCCTAATAATAATATTAAAAATTCCACTACGTATGATGTGTTCCACTATGTATTAAAACAACAAAGATGATTCCACTAACTACAAAGAAACTAATAAAATATTACTCCTGCTCTAAATTATCCGTAGTGCTTTTTCCTGCCCATCCAGCACATCTCGTTCTTTAATTCTTGCAACATTGTGATTTTTGCATTATTCACAAACCCTCCTTTGATCACGATTTTCTACTAATAATCAAATTATTACATATAAAATATTATTGAATTCCTATCAATGTGAATTACCAAAATATCGACTTTTTATCATTTTTACTAATACATAATTATATATAATAACAGTCAAAGTTGTGCGTTGGCAAACGTAAAAGTCAAACTGTTGCAAGAATTAAAAAACGGAGGATTGTATAAAATAGGAAACCCATAGTCCCATACCTGTCGATAAGGATGAAAGCAGAGAAAAAAAGTTGCAGAAGGTTTCTTCTATGCGCAGGCCGCAGAGAAGAAATAGTGGAAGTAGGAAATACGAACTACGAAGGTTGCAGAGACTCCTAGGCAAACTTATATACTACGTGTCTATGCCTCTAAGCTACCTTTTTTTAATTGGGCTGCAGCAGAGGACCCTATTTTCCTAATCGCACCTCAACACCCGTTTTAAGGCTAACGCAATAAGCGTACGCCTTTTCCAAAAATGCGCAGTATTCCATATTGCCTAATTACGTCTAGGCCTTTTGTCTTAGGATGTTTAAAAATGACAAGGCTAGCCTTATTGCGTAGAGGCGGAACGCAATTTTAGATGATGAGGAGGAGAAGGGGGGGGGGGGGGGGAAGGGGAAGGAGATGTTAGGAATTTAATTCACACACACGAAAAATAATAATGAAGAACACACGAAATTTGGTAACCCAGTTCGCCACGAATGACTACGTCTGGGGGCGCTACCAAACCAGGAATATTATTGCTATTTTCGGATCCAAGAGACTACAATGGGAGAAAGCTTGTATTTATAGAGAGTGAAACCACCCCTAATTCAACTAGGAGGCTCGGTCGGAAAAAAAAATCTGTACGGCCCAACTATACGGAATCCGTACGGCCCACTTATACGGAATTGTACGTAAAACTTGTTCGTCAAAAACGGACCAAAAATTTCGGCTAGAGATTGGTTATACAGTCTCTAACACCTTACAGGAGAAGGCGGAAAAAGAGTAGGAGCAGGATGAGGAGCAGCTGAAGTAGGAGGAGCAGGAGAAGGAAGAGAAGGAGAAGAGGAAGAAGAAGAAGAAGAAGAAGAAGGCTTTATGCGCTGAGAGTTTGAGATGGTTGTAGACCGGAAGGGGGGATTTTGAGGTGAGATGGTTGCAGAGGCTTTGTGCTTTGTGATTTGGAGGAGTTTTGAGGATATTTCTATGAAGGAGAGAATTTTAAAATGGTCATATTTTTGTCCATTTAAAGCTTAGAGGTGATATTTTTGTCACTCTCTAAACAGGGCATATTCATATTTTGACCATTAATGTAAGAGTATAGATCGTTGATAAGCACAATAATTACTTATGTTTTACATAGATAATTATATTTATCTGTACAAAAATATGAAGCAAAAACAGGTAAATATTCCCGAGTGAGCGAAAATGTAAAATACCTCTTGAAGCGACAAAAAGAGGGTCAATAGTCAAAAGAGATCGAAAACCGGCACTTCTGGATCAATTTCAGACACCAAAAGAAGAAGAAAAACGAAGTAACTATTCGGGTGCAGCAACCGGCGCCAGTCAGGCTAGAACCAGTGCCGGTCGGAATGATTTTTTGAAGTTTTGAGCCTGTTTTCAACCGGTGCAATTTTGCACATGACCGGCGTCGGTGAGCCTAGAACCGACGCCGGTTGGGCCGATTTCTGCACAAAACAGTCCGACGTGCAAGCTTATTCTTGATGGGAAAACTTCATCTTCCTCATTGTTGATCAAATATTGCCTCCATACCTGATTGTTGGGCTCGAATAGACTAAAAGATGCCATTTTTAGCCTATATAAAGTCCTTAATTCATCATACAAAGGCATTATATTCCATACTTTAATTCATAGCTTTTATATTTTGTTCTTGCTATTTTTCTTCAAGTTCTTGAGGAGGGAAGTTCATCCTCCGAAATAATTGGTGTTTAGGTATTATTTCCTTTGTAATTTCATGTTTCATTACATTTCAATATTGTATTGTGATTAATATGAGCATTAGAGGCTAATTTTTTAGCTAAGGCTAGGGATGAACCTATATGCCCACTAGGTGTTTGATAAAAGTTCTAAACCAATAAATTGTGATTTATCCTTTATATTTTGATTGTTTATGACTATGGTGTACAACATAGAAGTATGTTAAATTTAGTTTATGCTTGCAATTAACGTTGAAGTCTAAACTATGAACATTAAAGGATAAACATATATAGTACCAAGAATAGAAATATATCTGGTCTTATATGATACGGGTGTGATGTCTTGATATTCAACGGAGTTTTCGGTACATGAATGTAAGCCGTGATGGGACTTACACGTAACGAAAATCACGCTCTCGCTGTCTTAACCGGAGTTGAGAATATATTAGTGACATCGTATTCATAATTATTGGGAATGAACTATTATTAAATAACTAATAAAGCATTTAGGTGAATCCCGATTGCCTTAGTAATTCTCATTCTTGTTTAAACCAATCTCAAAGAGCAAAGTTCTTGAAAAATTACACCATTTACATTCTTTGTATTCAACACTCAACTTTATAATATCAACCATTTCCCTGTGGATCGACCCGATATTTACCGGTTTTTTATTACTATATCGGCACTTGTATACTTGCAAGTTTAGCCCGATTTATGTGCATAACTATAAGGAGAAGATGAAACATGTCATTAATTTATAATTATTGTGCATAACTATGTAATAATAGAATATAATAGACTTTGGTAGTGATACAACGAGAGAAAAGTTACTATATATATGAACAAAACATAACACCTTTTTTCAATTAGAGTTACTATTGTTTTTTGATTTAGGATCTATCAACTTCCAAAAGAAAAACTTTTAACAATTTCTTCTTTCGTTAAGATTAAATAAGTCTACTAATGAAATTGAAGTATTATTTATCCTACGCATAAACTTCATCTATATTGAACTCCTACTAGGTATAATTATCTATCAATTAAGCCATGTGACTCTACTTACAGGATGGTACAACATGGCTATTGAACGGACCAGGGCAATCACTTGCATTTATCTTGGCAGATGCTGGGTTTGATGTGTGGATTTCTAACTTGAGGGGAACCACACACAGTCGTAGACATGTTACCCTTTATGCTAATAGTGATCGAGTATGTATTTCTTCAAACCTTAATTACTACTCCCTCCGTCTCGAATTGTAAGGCACTTTACGGTTTACGATATTTGACCGACGATAAAGAAAACGGATCCTTGTTTGCACTCAAATTATTTTTAGAAAAAAAGAATTACATATTCAAAAACTGCATTAAAAGCTTTACAAAGTCCCAAAAACCAGAATCAAATTTGATAAAAATTTGATATATAAAGTAAGAAATTAAGAGTGATTTGTGTTGATCAAGTAAATAGGAAACATGTATCTTACAAAAAGGGACCGAGGGAGTATGATATATCATTCATTCATGACCAAACAAGATCAGAAAACCTTCATTCCCTGTCACAAATAAAAAGAGAATGTTTCATTCACGTTATAATGAGAAGACTATGAATCAACCATGCTCAATTTGAAACACAATAAATTCTGATATCTTCTTATCTTATGGTTCATTCTTAAAGACCAGTCTGGAAAGAGAAGTGACTTAAAACTTCACATATTGTTTTATTTGAGCAACATGAAATGATGATTAGCAAACCAGAAAGTCTATTCATTGTGAATTGTTTATTATCCATTGGCTCAATATAGTGAAAACATTGTCTTATGGGTTTGGAAGTGCAGAAGTATTGGGACTGGACATGGGATGATTTGGTGGAACAAGACTTGCCTACTATTGTAAAACTTGTGTTTGATACAACCGGACAAAAAGTTCATTATGTAGGCCATTCAATGGTATGATTTGTGCCGGAATATTTCAATCTTTAGACTTTTTTGAAATTATTTGAAAATTATATGCAAAGTTTCCATGTCTTTCCAATAAAGTTCATAGACACTGTGTACATCTAACCTTCTTTTTAGGACAACATGATAATAGACATTTTTGTATGCGAGTGTAGCTCAATCGGTTGATAGGGAGTGCAGGTAGACCCATGTCCCGTTCTCGGAAGCTACGTTAGGAGCCAGCCTTGCTTAGTAGGAATTCAAGCAAATACCAGGCGAAGATCCCATTTTCTATCAACCGAATTATAATATAGAGTTCAATTTAACCCTCTCAACACTCTATGATCGGCTTATTCTAAAGCCTCAGAGAAGTAGTGCATCCTTTATTATAATACATATTTTTTAGCTGATGTAGTCACACAATTTCATAATAATATGTAGGGGACGTTAATAGCCTTAGCATCCTTTTCGGAAGGGAAGATGGTAGACATGGTCAAGTCTGCAACCTTGTTAAGCCCAATTGCTTACTTAAGCCATATGGCCACTGCAATTGCTTTCTTTGCTGCCAACTCTTTCATTGGTGAGGTGCGTTATAAATTTCCCTATTTCTTTAAATTATCATATACTTAACAAAGCACATACAATAACAAAAAAATATGTACATATCTGACAATTTCAATGTGCAATGTCCATAGATCATTGGAGCCTTTGGTTTTGCTGAGTTTAATCCTAAGAAGTAAGGATTTACAACCATTAAATAAAGTTATATGATATGGTAGTATGTCATCTTAAATGTGATTAATTAGCTAATTACATCATTCTGCATTTCTACAGTAAGTTTGTGTCTGAAATTCTGAGGGCTAAGTGCTCTCAAGCACAACCCAAGATAAACTGCAATGACTTGATGACTATATTTACGGGTATGACATTACAAGATTGTGTGTGCATGCAATGTGCTTCTGCACAGAGGCGGGGTCAAGAATATGATCTAAATAGGGGCAAAGCTTAAATGAATTATTATGTGGGGTTCAAAGTTTAATATGTAACACATTATTTTCAACTTATACATGCTCATGCAATACATACATACACACACAGGGGAAGATTCTAATGAAAACTCACTCTTAAAATGAGAACTGTTAATCTTCATCATTCATTTTTACAATCAATGGACAATAGTGACAAGGTGACATTTTTTGTAATTATTTAGCACTAATTACAAAAAAAAATCCCATTTGAATTTGGAGTAATTACGAATATGATCCCATGTGAATCATCACATATTATTGCAATAAATGAAAGGTTGAGATTAAAAGTTCTCATGATAAGAAGTTCTCATTTTCAGAGGATTCTCACTAGACCCCACTCCCCCCACATATATAGGGTAGATCGTATCAGGACGTCCTGGCGGGAACCGCCATCAAGCCGATGCCAATTGAGGCCCTTCCTGATGCAACTGTTTGATGAACTTTTTTGAGCATTTTCTTCATCAAGTCTAGTTTAACCCTACCAAGTTTAAACTAAAAATTCAATTGGGAAGACAGTTAAATAAAATTATTACAAAAACTGCGCTTTATTTATATAAACAACATAGGGTTTGTAAAGAATTTATTTAAGAGGGAATTTGAGTTTGCACCACGTTTTATTGTCCAAATTGGACTTTGCACCCCGTTTTAAAAAGTCTTTGCTTTTGCACCCCAATCCCATATGAAAAGACAAAAATGTCCCTCCATTAACAGTTTTGTTGGCCTTCAACATATTTCTGATCGAGGGGCATTTTTGCCTTTTCATACGGGGTTGGGGTGCAAATACATTTTTTTATAAAAACGGGGTGCAAAGTCTAATTTGGACAATAAAATGAGGTGCAAACTCAAATTCTTCCTTTATTTAACTGCCTTCTTGATTGAATTTCTAGCTGAAATTTGGTGGGTATAAACTAGACTTGATTTTGAACATGCTCAAAATATTTCATCAAAAAAATCCATCAGGAAGTTCCCCAAACGAGCTCGGACAGACGAAAAATACTTTCATCCCCCCAGCCCCTCCCTGGCTCCACCCCTGTTTGCACCCTTTCAAAAAACTATAATGTATGTAAATGTGTTTTAATGTCTTGATTACAGGAAAAAACTGCTGTCTAAATTCCTCCAATTTTGAGCTCTTCTTGGAATATGAACCACAACCAACATCGACTAAGAACCTTGTGCATATGGCTCAGAGTAAGTGTTAACATTAATGTTAGTGGCAATGACTGACACAAAGTCCCATGATGAGGGCAGTCAAGCACTCATAATTTTTCTTAAAAATATTAAGGTTGTGTGTTTCATGGTAAAATGTAAAAATCTAGGCTTTTTTGTGATGCTTTAAAAATATAGGGAAAGTTCTCGTAATATGAGTAAACATGTTTTCAAACTCCAAAATATGACTATTATGTCTTTTCTTCTCGAAAAAGGAGTAGCATGACATTATTTACTACCATCTTGAAGACATTACAACCAACACATTTTTACTCATATTTAGTACCAAATATATAATTCCACTCTTTTGGAGTTTATGTTTTTGTTATTTATATATTTCCAACAAAAATTGTCTCATAACAGATAATTTTAGTGTACAAACTCACGTCTCACGTATAAGATGTTAAATTACTGGTACTATGTTTTTAGCATAGAAATAAGTCTTATACATATACCCACCCAAAATATAAAAATAGTGTGTCAGCCACATGTCATTATATTGGCACATAGAATTTCATTTTGAGCATTTTTCCCTTCGCAATGCTTCATTTTATTAGGAAAGTAACCAATCTTAACATGTACACTTGAATTTTTGAAGCTGTTCGCAGTAGAATCCTAACGAAATACGACTATGATCTGAATAATATTGAGCACTATGGACAACCTCGACCTCCCATATACAACCTCACAAACATTCCTCTTGACATCCCCATCTTTATAAGTTATGGAGGTCAAGATGCTTTATCAGACGTTAAAGATGTGGAGAATCTACTCGATTATCTGAAGTCCCATAATATTTTTAAAATGCATGTTCTGTACATCCAAGAATATGCCCATGCCGACTTTATTTTGGGGATAACAGCAAAGGACTTGGTGTACAACAAAATCATTGGGTTCTTCACAAACTGAGATTGAGTTTTTTGGACTTTAGCTGCAAATAAGTGAAAAGGTGGTTGTGTATTTATACCGTTGGTTATCTCACTCATGATAAATATATTGTGCAATCTAAATGACAATACTTTATATATCAGTTTTACAAGTTTGTTAATTGTTGTGCAACTCTTGACTTTTATTTGCTTTGTGTTTTCTCTTGTTCATCTTTTTTCCAGATCACTTTTTTGCTAGCCAATTTACTGAATTGATAAAACTAAAAAAGTCCATTTGAAAATTTGATAAAATAAAAGCTCTAGTAAGATATTGGTAATTTTAAAAATATGTGGTATCATGTAACTATTTTTTCTAATGGTAAGATTGCCCAACATGATAATAGTTTGCTGGTATTCTAAATTACAAAAGATTTGCTTTTAGTTTCTAAGATGATTCTACATTGATAAGTTGTAATCGTTCTGCAAGCACTGGACATAATCTTTATAATCAAATTAATAATAAACATTTAGTAAAATACAAAGAGCCGACCCGAGGGCGGGAATTGATGGGTGTTGTTGAAGTCTTTCCTTTGACGGGATATTTTACCTTAAAACTACAGTGAGTGGCTAAGTGAGGAATGAGTGATTGAGAAGTGGATGAATGGATGCCCCTATCATTGGATGAGTGAAAAGGGCCTGTTTTGTTTTCCCATCCCAAAAACTTTGATCATCGCATGAGCACTCCTACCGGATTAGTGAATGGATTAAAGCACATGTTGGGTTTGGGGCAACTAGATAAATGCAATGAAAAATGGAAAAAATCTTTGCTTGAAAATAACTGACCGAAGTTATATTATTATAAATGGAATTACAAGAGATTGAGGGACTTAAATTGAAAACTCAAAGCAAGGACGTGACACCGCACCCGGACTTCCTTGAAATTACGATTTAAAATTTAAAGTTGATGTATTGAATTCCCTATTATCAAACATTTGTAAAACGATTAATGCCATATGTAATGTATGATTAATCGTACCATCGTTTGGGCCCGTAGTATAAGGATGAGATTCCAAATACTCAATTGGGCCATCTTATTAGATATAAGATCCCAATACAATATAAAAGAAACATTCATAACCCTTCTAGACCAAATAATAAGGTTGGACATCTCAATTGTTACTTTGAGCCCAACTTGCTAAAAATAGTAAGATAATTGGAAAAGGGTGTCCTAGGCCCACTCGAGGGTAGCCCACAAGTCTTGTAGCCCAAAAATATAAATGGAAATGTCATAAATTAATGATAGGGGCGGACAAATAGGTGAAGGGATGGCTAGAGAAGAATACAAACTTCTATGGTCCACTTTTGTCATTATTGGGATGTATTATGAGAATAAGGGTTTCTCCTATAATTGTACATCATATGAATTATTGGACCATCCTACACAATTTAGATATCAATAATATGATGTAGAAAGTTGACCTTGTCTAAAGAAATTTGATTGAGTACAAAAAGACATACATTACTAAAAGATAATAACAATAGGACTCGTTCTTCCATTTTGGGAAGTATTGGTAGATATTTTGCTCCCAAAATTAATTGGACCACAATGGGGCGTCCCACACCTTCCTAGCACCTGCAAGACAACTAAATTAATGATAATTAAAAGGGAGGGGTGGACATAATTGATTTGGTGGCTGAACATGACAAAAGAAATCAAAAGAGAGGCCCTCTCTCACCCTCATTTTTACCAACCATTAAAATTAGATACATTGAGGGAGTGGTCTAGCAGAGGTTTGGGTACATTCATACTCAATCCTTGAAGCTTTGAGGACAGGAAGAACTCGCACACACACAAAAAGAAGTAGGCCTAAGATCGGTTCGGTTCTTGTTAAAATTCAATGGAATCTATTAAAAATCAAATTCTTGAACACATTTTACCTTCAATTACATAAAAAAAAACAAATTTCAAATCATGAAATTATGACCATTACATTATACATAAATGATATCCCGATGTTCAAATATCACAAAAATATCCAAGTGTAAACATTAAGTTTAAACATAACAAAAACAAAAGTAGACATCACTATCAAGCAAAAATGTTTAATAGCTCCAAGATACACCTCCAATATCAGGTAGTTCAACCTCAAAATAATATTCTTCTACTAGTAATGCGCCGTGAGTAAAATGTACGTAGTAATAAACTGACCGGTAGTATTATAATAAAAAAATATGCAATATTCCTTTTTAGGTGAACTCAAATAACAAATACAATTACAAACAAACGATAAATATATAAGTGGACTAAAGTAGTAAAATAATAACTACTCGGATTGGTCTAGTCCACAATATATAAGGCATATTATGCATGACAAATATTCCAGACAAAAATTTTCCGCCTAGAACGCAGTGTGGACACCTCCATTTGAGGTGATTCCGGGTAGAATTTTTTTATGAGATTTTGTTAGCATGTTCTTCATGAAGTGTAGATTATATCTACCAAATTTCAGTTTCAAATTCAATCAGTAAATGAGTTAAATAAAATATTGAAAAATATTGCATTTTGTATATGTATTTTGACGTAGTGTTTTTAAAATTTATTTATCTGACTTTCCGATTGAATTTTAAGCTCAAATTTGGTGGACATAATCTATATTTCTTGAACAACAAGCTCACAAAATTTCATACAAAAATTCCACTCAGAAGCGCCTAAAATGAAGATTACTCATGCAATGTATAAAAAGTTCGGTTCCTGCCTAGGAACCAAAACCGAACCGGAAAAAGCTGAAGTCCAAAACTATATGAACCGAACCGGAAAATTCGGTTCGGTTCGAATCGATTTTCCCGGTTTTACGGTTCCAAGTCCCGGGCCTAAAAAGACGTGGAGAGGACTGCTGGATGCACAGTTGCAATCATTAGCATTGTTTAGTCCATATCTCGAGTGATCTTGGAGAGGAGACGTGGTTCGTGCTTCTTCCATTCTACTTTAAACAATAATAAACTTGCTCATTGATATTTTTACTTAGAGCATGTGTGCTCATGTTTGCCCCGTGTGGCATTTGGTTTTAAACTACACTTTCCGCTATGTAATGAGTTGTATACATTATGTTTGTTTATGAATGACTTATGTGTGAGTGATATTCATGATGCCTTGCATAGTATGGGTAAACCTCATTAATGACAATGATCAGTTAATTTTAAGGGAAGTGAAAAATCGTAAACCGCGTGGGAATCTTTAAATGCGACGAAAAAAGTATATAATTTAGTTTATTAAAAGTACCAAATTATAACTTTTTGAACAATTATCTTTCCTTTAGAAGTGTAAAATTTGTGAGTACGTACTTCACTGAAGTTAACAGTAAATCAGTCATTTTTCTATTAATTAATAGCTTAGCTAGAAGACTTATCTATCATGTGGTAATGTTGAATGAAAATACATTTTTAAAATATTTTAATCAAAATAATAATAAGAAAATTTATTTAACAAATTTTTAACATTTGGTAATGTTGAATGAAAATACATTTTTCAAATATTTTAATAAAAAAAAATGAGAAAATTTATTTAACTATTTTTTTTAAAGTTATGCTAATATTTAGTATGATTAAATTTTTTATTTGTAAATTGTAACAAATTTAAATAAATACGTAGTACATTATATTTTAAATTTTATCTGACTTGCGTTCTTATTGAACTTACCTACATATTTTCTTTATAATACTAGAGAATTCAAAACCAACATAATTATTTAGTTTTTATTACACAATGCAATAGGAAAAAATAATAATAATATAAATAATCACAAAAGAGTCATTTGGGGACTGACCGGCTCCATAGAGCTCTAGGGAGGGCCTAGCCAAAGGGGTAAGAAGAAAAAAAGCAACTCATGTTGGGACCGGTTGGTTGTGCATTGAACTTTATGCAACATGAGACCGTGTTATACGAATTTAGAGTACGGACTCTAGTGTATCTAGAGACCGCCGTCTATCAGGACCGGTGACCAGTCATTAGGCGGGAGAATGAAGGGTTGAAATTGTATTACTTTTATGCACAAGAAATATATATATTTGAGTTTTTATTTTTAAGTATGTTTTTAACTGGACTAAAATTTTCTAGTCTAATTTGATTTGAGATGGGCTCGTAAATGTGTGATTTCTGTGTATTTTATAACTATAGATATCTAATACTCCGTCCCAAAATTATCTTCATAGTTACTATTCACATGATCAACTCAAATTACTCTTAATCTTTTACTTTATATATCAAATTTTTATCAAACTTAAAGTTTCTTGATCAGGTTTTGTAGCGGTTTTAATGTAGTTTCTGAATATGTAAATTTTATTTACTAAAAATAATCCGAGTGTGAACAGGGATCGAGTTGCTTTATCGTCAGTCAAACATCGTAAACCGAACTATGAAGATAAATATGGGACGGAGGTAGTACTAGTACTACGTATGTTTAAATTTGATCTGATCTGAAATGATCTGTTTAAATCTAGGACAGAAAACAGCCAAATAAAAAATATCCGAATAACGCAGGACAAGTCGAATTGGGTGATGGCCCAGTGGGCTTCTTGTACATTTTTGTGTGATAAATGTGATATGTTTAAATCTGATCGAATTGCGTGGTAATGTCATAATGTGTGATTTTTGTATATTTTTTAATTATAGAAGTGTGATATGTTTAAATCTGATTGATGTCACGTGATTTGCTTAAGTCTAGGAGTGAAAATATTCGAAGAGCCACAAGACAAGTCGAATTGCGTGATGGCCCAGTGGGCTTCTTGCAGTCTTTGTGCGTGAAACCTAAGAGTCGGAAACCCTAGCTATTAAATACCTCCGTAAGCAGCAGAAGATCTCAGAAGAAGAAAAGAGAAGATGCAGATTTTCGTGAAAACCCTCACGGGCAAGACAATCACCCTTGAGGTTGAGTCTAGTGACACCATCGACAATGTCAAGGCTAAGATTCAAGACAAGGAAGGTGCGTGTGTATTTAATCTCTTGGTGGCCTATGCATCCATTTCACTTCATCGTGAAGAAATATATATTTTCATTTCGTTTGAATTTAATTTGATACATCGTGTGTTAGGAATTCCACCGGATCAGCAGAGGCTGATTTTTGCAGGGAAGCAGCTGGAAGATGGCCGTACCCTCGCTGATTACAACATTCAGAAAGGTACATGTGACTTCAACGTTTTGGGTTTTGATTCTCTAGTAAATTCGTTTCTGTTGTATTCTTAATTTGGGATTGGAACAGAGTCTACTCTGCATCTGGTGTTGAGGCTTCGTGGAGGAATTATTGAACCGTCTTTGGTAGCTTTGGCTAGGAAGTTTAACCAAGAAAAAACGATATGCCGCAAGTATGTTCTTATACTATCATATTTATTTGATTTGAGTTTGCGTTTTCGGTCCCTTGTCTATATGCTTGTTTGGAAATCAATTTCTCCTACTGGTTTTAGTTTGTGCTCCCATTAAGAAAAAAGCAGCTTGGTGAAATGTACATTCGTGGCCTTGCCGAAGAGCATTTAGTGTTTTTCCATTCTAATTTGTGTTCAATGCATACAGGTCTCAGCGACTATTTAAAAAATGGCTGTCATTTCTAATTAAAAAATCTGTGTTATATACTCTGTATATGTATTATAAGAATTATACCCTGAATCTATTATATTGAGTGAGGTTTTGTACTTCTTAGTTATGTATGATACGGAGTATACTAGATCAATTTACACCAATACTATTTAAATTATTATGTATGGTCGGGCTGTATCGACATGGGTTTATTCGATTAGTTATATCTTACTTATGTGGTCTGTGACTTTAGTTTGTACTACGGACTTGGTATATGGACCTAACTAGTATACCAATTCTTTGAATACATTTTACAAAAGTTGTATAGCGTGCAGTATTAATTCTAGTTTATAGTAATAATATACTCCGTAATAAACATGTGTCTAAACTGAAAAATACTAGTATTAAAACATTGGTGTAAATTAATCTAGTATGATATGTTATTGAATCATTTCTTTCTATATGAATTTCATCACACTGATTTCATTTTCTTACACTCTAGAAAGTCTAAATGGAAAGGGATAAATTGGGACGTAGGGATCATTTTAACTGTTGAAGTCATTCAGGATCTGATGCTGCTTTTTTTCATTAGGTGCTATGCTCGCTTGCACCCTCGAGCTGTCAACTGCCGCAAGAAGAAGTGTGGGCATAGCAATCAGGTTTTGGTGTTGTACTAGCCCTATTTTATTAGTAGCTTTTGTCATTCTTTTATAGACATAGACTCAATGTCATTTTCATATTTTTGGGCGCAGTTGAGGCCAAAGAAGAAGATCAAGTAGATGATGCATCTGAAGGTTTTCAGGGCCATTGTTGGGCCTGCTTCACTGTTGTCTGTATGTTTTGTGTTGTGACTGTTGTCTTGAATTATCGATATGGATCTTGGTACTCTAAAATGTAATTGCATCAAGTTTGATGCTGTTTTATTCCTGTTTTTGTTGAACTTTTTAGCAAACTTTTAACATTATATGCACATCGGGATCAAATGCGATTACTATTTACTACTACTATTAAATCTAAGATGCTTGAAATGCACGCTCATTAGTGTGCCGGTTTGAACTTTGAAATCCAACTATTAGTGAGCTCCCACATTGAAAATATCACATGATAAAATAAATAATTTTTTTTGAAAGGAGGGGGATTTATGTACTGCCTTCCAAGCTTCCGCCACCCCAAAGGCCCAAAATAAGCTCCCAATTCAAAAGAGGGGTTGCAACTACTGAAAGGGGAGAACTAAAGAGTAAAGAGGTTTTGAATCTTTTGATAATCAATTTGTCTTTGGCCGGAGGAAAAGGGATGAAAGTTTAATTGAATGAATTTCTTAATTATCATTATTCGTAAAATTACTTTCATATTTTTTTAACTTGTGAATTTCTTCATTGTTTATTTTTTTTTGTTTTTACTTTTGTAATTGTAAATTTTAAATTTTCAAATTTTATTTTTTAAAATTTTTGAACTTTTGATCTTTTAACCTTTTATCGTTTTAAAACTTCCTACTGTCCCCCTAAAGGTCTGTATGGATGGAGTGTCGAGGAGTGTTATTAATGGAAGTGTTAGCAAGTGTTGATGCTAACGTTTGTTTGGGAGAAAAATGTAGAGGTGTTAAGAAGTGTTAGTAATGGTTAGGAAGTGTTAATAACCTTCACAACACCTCAATTGTCCATTTTTTTAACACCCCGATTTGGAGTGTTTTGAGGTGTTGGACAATTATTACCTTTCTCATTTACATGAAAAACATAAAATGCTTCGACATTTCACTTCGAATGTCTGATGGTTTGTTTTTCATCTCTTCTCTTTACTCGTTTTTTTTGCCTCAAGATAAAATTATTAACACTTCCATTATTAACACTTCATTCATTTGACTCTCCCAAACAAGGTAAAATTATGTCTAACACTTACACTTCCCTTCCCTTCCGAGCCCTTATTAACACTTACTAACACTTCCAAACACTCCATTCAAATAGGTTCTAAGTTTGGGACAAGAGAATGTGACATGATTATTAGTAAAAGTGGGTTTATGTGGTTGAAATTGAATTGATAAAGTAAGAATAAAGTAGGAATGATTTAGAATCACACAAACTTTACCAAATAAGGTATGAGACAATCTTATTGGACGGACCAAAATGGTAAAATGTGACAATCATAGCGGGACGGAGGGAGTATAAGTATACAAGTCTTTTAGTCTTTAAGTATTTAGATTGCTAAGTTTTCACGTTTATAGATTTTTAAGTTTTTAAACTTATAATTTTATATTTTTTATATTTGTAAAGTTTTAAAATTTAAAATTTTTGTTTTAACAAATTTGGGATCTTTCTGTTTTTTATTCTTTCAGTTGCCACAAGTTTTTTAAAGATGTTTCAAGTCTTCAGTTTTTTTTTTCTTTCTGTTAACAATGCATTTCCTCCGAATTACCTTGATTTGGATTTTGGGGGAAAGAGACGAAGTGCAGGATTTTGAAAGTTACCAACTTTCCCCTCATTTCCTCCTGTTTCTTGTAACAAAAACACGCCCAAATCATTCAATCACCTCCCCTTCCCTCAATTTTTTTTACAACCAAACAGGGCCTTAAGCTTTCCTTTCAACTCTGTAGTGTGTGAGTGCAAAAAGTTTTCAAATCACAGTGATTTTTTTTATAAATGTAAAAAGGTACGTTAGGAGAATTCTTGCATTGCTGTTGGAAGTTGGAAGTAGGACAATACCACAAATATAAATAAACCTTTAACAAAACTTATAAATAAGTGATGTAGCTATGTAATAACTTAATGTAAAAGTAACATGATGTGGTTTGGGAAGAGCCATGGCTGCTTGATAGTTGATACATCAAGTCCTTATGTGGTTATGTTGCTAGGGCTCGTTTAGGGAGAGGGTTGGAGGTGGGATGATGTTTTGGTAGATATATCCTGGAGAACTGGGATAGGGAGCTAGTTACAAGTATACCTCCGAGTGTGAGGAAAGTTCTAGACAAGGTGATTTGGGGGTGGGAACAAAATGACGTTTATTCGGGTAAAAGTTACTATAGGTGGCTGGTAGGGGAGGTAGAATCGTCCCAGGGCGGGTCTGGACCGTGATCAGGAAGGCGTATAGTAGGACTATTCCTACAATAAAGTGTTGTAAAGGAAAACAGATAAGCTGTCTTGAGGGGTGTGTGGTCTGTGTGGAGTAAAAGACGAGGCGCCGCTGCATGTTTTCGTGAGATGTTTGGTAGTTTTGAGCTGCTTAGGGTTGAGCTGGTTGAGAGCATCATCAGGATCTTTTCCGTCCCGGGTAGACTGTTTTCCATGGAAAAAGAAAAGAGGAACTTCACTAGTTATGTATGGGAGTTTGGGGGCTTATGGAAAGAGAAATATCAGGGTGTGGAGAGGTTCTCAAGCTGCTGTAGGGCATGTTTTTACTAAAACACAACATATTATATGGCTCAATTCAAGTTGCCGGTGGACGTGGTAGCGAGGCAGGAGGGTTCTCCAGTTTGGCAGCTACTGGTAGCAGGGAGAGTAAAGGTTAACTTTGACCCCTCTACTAGAGGGGTCATTGAGGTCTTGGTTGGATGGTCTGGGATACTGAGGGAGGGTTTACAGCCGGAGTTACAAAGCCTTGCGCGAGTTTGTGTTCCGCAAGGGAAGCGGATGTGGTGGGTATTCAGGAGGCACTTGGTTGAAACATCGAAATTTGACATTTTGTGGACATGAAATCAAATGCTTTCCAAGTTATAGGGGTGCTTAGATCTGATTCGTAAAACTGCTTATACTCCTTCAGAGAGCAGAAGTTGGAATGTTTGGAAATTGCAGAAGTGATTCTGGTGCTCTGATTTACTCTTAAAATCAATTTTTTTTAGAAATTGAGGGAGATCAACTTCTGAAAACTGATTCTGCTTCTGCTTCAAAAAAGAAGCAGAAACAGAATAGTTCCAAACACCCCATAAATGAAGTCTAATCGGGCATTTGTAAAACAACATTTGGTCTTCTTGCTTTACCAGCATATAAAAAACATTGGTACTAGTTTTACCTAGGGGTGGGCACGGTACGGAACGGTCCGGGAAATTAGTAAAACCTGTAATGTATCCAAGGGGTTTCTTACGGTCCAGTACGGTTCTAAGGATGGAACCATTCGGTACCATGTCGTTTCGGAACGGTACAAAACGGTACGGTACAATGCCAAACACATGCTAAATATTGGACAAATCTTGCAATTAATAAATAACATCACACCAACCAACTCACATTAAGTATTGACATAAATACAAGAAATTGCATACGTAGTACTAAAGTTCACAAATACATGCACAAATAGTGCTAACACAACTAAGAAAAGGTATAGCAAAATGATGATACACGAGATAAATATTGTCTTTCATTTACTAAGTTCATGTGAAAATATAAAAAGAGTATCATCAAATTGTTCAATATATAGAAAAAGTAACGTTCTTCTTCTTCTTTGTTCTAGGTTAAAAATTATTTCTAATTTAATTTATAGTTGAACCGTAAGAGCTAAAATTTAAAGGAAAAATTGATAGTAATAATCCCAAATTTAAATCATACTAGTATTATTTAAGTTGTACAATTGCACAAACATGATACAACAAAAAGTCATATACACTACATTACTAGAAATGAATAGTCATTAATGATTTTTAAAACTTTAACATTCTTTAATACATACCAAAATATAACATAAAATTATTCAAAAAGAAAAAATAACAATATACATATAAACACACACATTCAGCTATTTTAGGGACACATGAATACATATTTGGGTATAAAATTGTTGGTCTATAAAATATATTTATTGGTATGGAAGAAAATATTAAAAAAAAAATCAAATGCAATAAATTTAAACGGTCCAGTCCGGTTCTTTTCGGTTCTCAAAATCTAGGACCGATCCCGTACCCGTTTCATACGGTACGGTTTCGGTTCGGGATAAAAATATATAGAACCGTTTAAATACCCGATATTCGGTACGGTACCGTTACGGAACGGTTCGATTAGGGATGTCAAAAAAATCCGACCCGCAATGACCCGCCCTGGCCCGAGACATTTAGGGCGGGTCCGCCCCGCCCCGTCTTGCAAATGGGGCGGGTCCGCCCCGCCCCGCCTATACAATGGGGCGGGTCCGGGTATTAGAATTGACCCGTTCCGCCCCGACCCGCCCCGACCCGACCCGCTCAATATATAAATATACATACTTTTTCTTAACTTATACTACGACAAATATACTTCAACATACATATGTGTGTATACAATAAATCATAAATTCTTTGATCTTATAATATATGAATATATATTAGAATGAGATGCACGACGGATTATCAATGTCTTCTTTATATATATAGAATTTTAATACATTTATTCAATTATTAATATAACTAATTAGATTAACTATTCAAGTTTGAGTAATTTTTTCTTAATTTTTGAAATTTTTAGCGTATCATAAATTTGATTTAATATATTGAGTTTTAATTATTATTTAGAGATAAACATTATGTAGATTCAATTGGTAACAACTTCCTACAAATAAAAACAAAAACTAGCTAATTAGGTTGCGGCGGGGCGGACCCGCCCCGCCCCGCCCCGCATGGGGCGGGTCATGGGTCAACAAGTTTGGACCCGTGCAGTTCACGGGGCGGGGCGGACCCGCCCCGCCAAGTCACGGGGCGGGTCCGGGTCTTGCAATACCCGCCCCGCCCCGACCCATTGCCATGCCTAGGTTCGATACCGGTTCCGGTTTTATGGCCACCCCTAGTTTTACCAGCATCTGACCTTACTTTACGGGTTGCTCATTTATTAGGCATCATCTTCTTTGTATTTCTCATTTATTGATATCTGAACTTATTCTTCTATCACAAGCAAGTATAAAGTCGGCCTAAATATAAAGAAAGCCGCCATCACCGCAAATTCAATGAAACAAAGTGCTCATGAAAACAAAGTACTCAATCAAATTGACGATTAATCAATATATCATCATCAATCAAAATATACCAAGAAACTTTTGAAGCGGTTTTACATGAATAAACCACACCCGCTCAATTTTTCAATGATGTTTCGATTTCTCAATATGAATGATGATTTTTCCGACCTTGTGAATGTGATGA